CTAGTAGGTATAAGCGAGCGGTCGTTAGAACATAAGTGCTTAGCCTGGAAACCACGTTCACGCAATGCGCATGAGTCGGGATAGCTGCTTCGAATTAGGAAGACAGGACTCTGGTTCACTTACATCTAATTTGCACTTCAGACATCTGCTCCCCCGAACACGCGGAAACTTATTCTGAACAAGAATAAGCGGCCATTCGGTTAGAAAAGTCAGCACGAATTTATTTTTATCAGCCAAGACTTCGTCACTACCTATAAGGATGATGAAAGCCCATTGCTGATTTCGCCTTTTTGGTCCAGTTCTCAAACTTCTATCATATTGCGTGCTTGAATGGAAAATCGGACCCATGTACAGAAAGTCGCAGTGGACTGGGAGTCTGTTTGCTCCCTTGGTTCGAATTTTTGTAGTCCGAGTGAACCGTTTGTTTTGGACGCGTATCTACTGTCCAGGTTTGTATATTTTTTGAATTTGTCTGGCACCGTATAGAAACCCAGCTCCGACCTTGTTCTGCCCACCCGGAGGTTCTGGTATTACGCGTCACTCGAAGATACCGTTCGCCCGTTACAGGTAGTTTGCGACTCTAAACTTGACACACAGACCTGTCTCCACCAGTGTGCTTCGGCAACGATGCGAAGCTACTCATACAGGCCGGACGTTCGAACGACACAGTAGCAGCGGAAACCTAATTGTCAGGTAACAAAGTTGTATTGACGACCCCTTTCAGTTTACAAGTAAGATAACGGCCAATAGAGAAACGCAGTTGTCAATGTGTCGAAATATTGCTAGGTCGGGTGTACTTAAAAGTGGTTGAACAGATGGTCATTGAGCTGTTCGCTGAGCTTGGTAACTGGCTTGCAAAATTTTCGTCCATAGCTGAGGCAACACTGTCAGTTCGCAGTTGAGCGGGTGCTTCCTCCGTCCCTAGCTGCATTTAATAGCTTTTGAATATTATCTAATATCCTTTCATGTAATTGACTAACTGGTGTACACCTGTTGTGATATTATCGGCCCGATCGCGATTTGCGCTGCGTTGTGGTCTGCATGTCTTGTATTCCACTGGTTGGTTGGATGGCTGCTTTGGGGTGCTTCAAGTCTGTTTTCGATTGGTCCATTTCCAAGTTGTTTTGCGCCGTGAGCTTTCTTCCTTGAATTCGGTTGGTTGTAATGGCGATTCCTATTTCTGGTAGGTTGATTTATTCAGTCTGCTTAATAGGCTCAGTGTATACCGTAGTTTCATCTTCTTGGGTTTGGTTAGCCGCTTATGCTTCCCAGTTTCGTGTAGTTTTTTCAAAGTACATCATCCACTATTGTCCCAGTTCCGCTTCCCATTCCAAGATTATCCACTGTCCCAACGTATGGATTTCCATACAGACCTCTCCCGCGACTTCGGTCCTGCAGTCAGAGACTGCTCTACGGAACCTGCCTTGGATTCTACGTGGAGTTACAAGAGATCTATGCTTGGATATCGAGGACACGGATTATGGTCCGATCGAATTTATTCTCATTGGATGTGTTCTCGAATCTCTGAACTCAACCGCACTAGCCTTCATTCACATGAGGTGTGAAACGGCTACCCGTGCGCAGCTAAGTACAAAGCGAACGACGCAATGCATCGTATATGCCAGCAATATGCCTGAGATAAAGTGAATATGACTGTAGATGTTTTCACAGTGAAGCTAATGTAGGGCGTTGATATTGCGGATATGTTGAAATACAATACCGAATGTGCGGCACGAGGCGAACCTGTTGTGTTCCATAACTTTACATTTTTGGGTAAAGTGTAAGGTTTTAAAAATGTTCACCACCAAGGCGGAGCTTCTCACGAACAGTAGCTATGAAAAAGTGTACTTCGTATTTTAGTAACCGTTCTGGACTGCCAGTTGTCACAATATACCTATTTCTATGTTGAGAAAAACATGCACTTGTAAAATACGATCGTGCCAGTGAAATCACTTTTCCATAATGTTTTTTAAACCAGTTTAATATACAAAGCAGTTTACTACAGAGATGACATTGAAAACATTAATCTATACTTTTTGAGATGACATTATACATAACGTAGGCCTTTCAAGGGTTTCATCACACTTCTAGGTTGTGTAACATCAAGGATAGGTGCCACTAGTTACGGATATACTGAATATCCAAATTGGGCCAATATTCTATTCGTCAACGCTATTAGCTAACCTTTGAATGAAATTATTCCAACATAGTTCGCCATAAATTCCTGAATATACGTAAGCATTCTGTTCATGACAAATTGAAGCTCGTACAAAAGTGGTCCAAATCAAGGACGTTACGAAACTTCCGGAGCATTTCTAAGCATATCATGTTTCGTTCAGTGATATGTACTTGTTGCATTCCCTCAAAGCCCTTCATTGTCAAGTCTGCAGCACAAGTAGGTTTAGCAGTTTTTGGGTGAAGGATTCGACTTACCAACTCAAGCCGATTCAGGCCGTAACTGTCGTGGGGGGAACAAGTTAATTAGGGTAGTTCTAGTGTTAAAGGCGTTGCTTTGTCAAAGTATTCTGTAGTTTCTTTCCCCACAGCTTATTTCACGTTTTCGGTTGGTCGAAAACACTCAGTGAAAGGCCACATGGCGGTTTCGAGTCCTCTTGGATGCCAGAGAGAAAATATTCAGAACCGTCAGCCTTTGGCACGAGCAACATATACCGCAACATAACAGAGGTGCGTCGACCCCAGCTTGCGCAGCGGTGATCATTCTTGCTGCATGATTGATGGTGGTTGTCCGCTTCTCATTCAATCGACTGATAATCTGGCTGTTTTAATAAATCGATAGCAGGTCACAGGGGTCGCAACTGACTTCAGCTAAGTCCCCGAGAAATATTTGGGCTTGCAGAACGAACGACACGGTGCCACATCTAGTTCAGAAACCAAGGGGCAAGATGGCTATTTTTGACGAATAGAGGACCAGCACACGGTTGCTAGACGCTGACATATATTGTTTTTTTACTGAGTGCACTGAAGTTGCAAACGAAGTCAGCGAATGTATGCGTTATCCTCTAACTTCGCAAGGGACTTGATTAGATGATGCCCCTTAGAAAGCTGAACAACCCGAGCGGTCTTACATTGTCAATTTATATTACCTCAGAGTGAAGTATCTCATGCAATCATGCTGAACTACCTCTGCCCGATTCGATATGGGAATCAGTTAAAACTAGGCTGAGACCTTGCCTCAAACAGTGGGTAAAGTGATGTGGTTAGACTGAGTACGTTGATTTTCTAACCTTTCTTTATGCGTCACCTGAAGATCATTAGAACCTTCGATTCTTCATAGATGACCAAAATCCTCAACGGAGTTCTGTCTCTAGCTAACGTGTAGGAACTTACGCATCAGCCTAATCCAGATGACTCCGTTGTTACGGTACGGGGTTTTTTTTATTTTCTTACTGAAATGTAGGTAGTGAGACTATACTCCACTGGATGTAAGAGCATCTGCAGCACGATCAAGCAATCACTTGTTCACGTGGGTCAAGTCCGGTTCCTGGCAGAGCTACATCTATCGTTGAATCGGTTGGTTTTTTTGCCTAACCGAGTGATCCGTTTTGACCTGTCTGACTCTCCGGCTATGAAACATGGCTTCATTAATCGCGCTCGCTAGTGTCGCAGGTCACTGAGACCAAAATTTATACAATGCAACGGCTGAACATCGTCGTCACATTAGTAATACGGTATAGATTGTAGTTGTATCGACTTATCAGTCTATCGTAATGGGCCTACGCTGATTGACCAAGTCAAAAACTCCTCCAAAAGCCGACCATGATTGTTGGGGCATGACTTGACCTTAGCGAACCTGAATAATAGTCACTGGTTACGCAGTGAGGGGACTTGATATTACAGCAAGAGGTGCATCGAATTCTATACTTTACTGACTACTCAGATCAACCGATTATCCACGAGCGAGTTGGTTTACTAGTTTGACCATGCTCTTTTAGAACGTCATCTAACTCAACTAATCTACTGGTGCCTACCGGTGGCACAGATGAAGGTGACAGTCATAGGCGGAAAAATACTGCAAGACAGCGGCAAGGATGTCAATAGTACCATTGTTTATACATTGGAGGGGATCCATGGCTAATTGGGGATCGACCGATCGCCCGAAAAGGTGGAACAGTACAACCACAGCTTGGAGTCCTTACCTTTGTTCACAAAGCAACTTGGCGTTATGATTAACCGGTATGGTCATCGGCCAGAGTCAGAAAACATCACACAGATTCCATGCACACCTGACACCGTGTTTATATCTTGGATTGGTAAGTCAGGAGTATCGGAAGTTTAGGCCTAGCGAATAACTACAACATCAATCAAACAGCAATTTCAAATCACGATAAAAAGACCAAAGAGTTGGTGCTCTGTTCGCTGAACCCGGTAATTTGGTTATAAACGTTACAAAGGACAAAAAACGGACATCCTTCAAAGCCATACGTTCTGCTTTCCCCGTTCTGTACTAATCCACAAGCGACTGATTCCACCCCATACAGCAGTAAGGTCATTTCAGCGTTGTATTAAAGTTTTATCGTGCAAGTGGACTTCTACAAGCAATAGCAAAATTCACCCTATACTACCATTCAAACCCATGTGGCTCGGTAAAACTAGTGTTCTCGCAAATAAGTTCATTACTTTAGCGAGACGTGACAAGATTGGTATCAGGCCCGACACATATACTAAGCATGTACCACGCCACGGCTCAGCTGACTACTTGTATTTTATTCCATAAAATTTAACTGCGCCGAGAAGCCTTAAAGGGGGCAACAACGAAAGAGCAACAAGCTCAAGTACCGCTAGCAAACTCGTCACAAGGCGGGTCTGAAGCTTAAACGCGCATTGCATACTGCCCTCTACCTCGGTAGTTGACCATGAGCATCATCAGCCGACATTAATGTATTTTCAAGACCTCCAATGAAAGCCAGTACAGTGAAAAGCAACTGACTGTCAATACACAGTATGTTGATCACCAAATGAATAAGGAAAACAGCAAGTCACATCAGTACAAAAGGTTTATTCAGTTGTTATTCAACAAGTAAGCAACAGATTCATAAACAAGAACGTAGGGTGTCCTTGGCTGTTTCGTGATATCTTTTGCCATATCTTTCGACAACGGGTGAAAAATGCAAGCGTTCGCATCCAACGGACGATGAGTAGAGAGCAGTAAACGGACAGACTCCACACCCGTGACAACACATGCTCGAATGTCATCAAGATACAGGAAACTGAGTGGTGAGCTAGGGTGACCAGCTGTCGCAACGCAGTCGTCCTCCCATCGGACTGCTACTGTGTAGTGACCAGATGCTGCAGTTTCACCCACATGGAAAATTACAGCCCGAAGCCGATACCGTCGTTCGTCCATGGTGAACGAAATTTCGTGATTCAAGAGTTCTGTTATGAAAGTCAGAAAAAATAAAACGGAATTATCCGGGAAACGGAGAGAAAGCTGTGGGTGTAGCGTCTGAAATAACACGTAATCGATTATGAAGAGTTCCCCACTAGATATGTTGTCGCTGAACTCCCAGCCTGTTTCACAATGTACAGGTTGAATATGTAGTGCATGGTTCGGTGATAATATCACCCCACTGGCTTTGAAACAATCACATTGGGGGACACCCTGAAAATTAGTTTGCGGTTGCAAAGATCTGGGGGACTCAGGATTCGCCCACACAGACCTTAGGCAAAACAAACTTCACACCCTAGAGTAGCTTTCAACAATCGAAAAGACGTTTCCTGTACGGTTACTTTGGCCATAAATTCTAAGGATGTGGCCCTATGTTCTGACTCGTTGGACAATGAAGAAATCATAGCTGATTTGGGTGAATAGTTTTTTTTTCCAACAAAAAAACACGACATCGTAGTATAGAGAAATATGAGCCAAAAAGACTGCTTTTTACACGTTTTCTTATCCTATAAATGCCAAGAGTTGAGGATGGAGTGCACTATTCAGATGATCACAGCAACACACTGGCATTTATTTCACTGCGTCTCAACCAAAAACGTCCCTGATGAACAACCCCATTATAATACGGCCTAATACGAATGAGCATATTTTCCGCATGAGTAGAAAGGTCCACATAACAGACTGACGTTCATCATTCGTCCAAATTTAGTTGCACAGTGATACTGGAATCGTGCTCATGTGTACACATGCACAGATAAAAAAGGCATTACCATACGAGTAGAGTGCTCTTCCCACATGCAGATGCGTGGCAGTTTGTCTTCAATAATCGTTAGCGCCTGACGCGGTGGCTCATATCAGAGGGGATGTGGTTACGGGAAACGTCGTTAGCAAAAATTTTTACAGGAATCCTCCACGAGAAATCCTGAGGGGAACATCCTTTGGGCAGACGATTTTGACAGGACTTTTCCCGACGCCACCTCCCCAAACCGAACAAGAAGCACCTTATAGCTCCAGAAAGGGCTAATTTACTCCACATCATGGTACAAAAGCTCTACGATATTGACTTAGGCTTTCATTAGCAACAATGGATAGTATAAGCACTACTATTGCACGGTAGTGAAGCATCAGTGTCAGCACTGATGTTGCTGTTTTTGATGATGGCTGTTACACTACCTCACCACACTTGGCTTGAAGAATCACCCGGCCTACGAGTATGTCCGTCTAAAAATGTCAAGAATGCAATGCTGGAACACAGTTGCAGCATCGCAAGTGAGCATCAGAAAGGTTCCTAGACAGTTGTTTACCGCTATCCAAGAGAATGAAGGAGCTTCAGCTCGAGGTCGTGTTCACCTGCGCAGTAAAGTGAGTTAAGAGAGATACTAACACAAGAGTTGCAGGTGTTTCGTCAGCAGGCTCTGTAGTTTATCCTGACCTGCTTCGCTAAGTGAAACTGAAACGTTAAAGTATGAGATATCTAGCAAGAATAGCCAGTAATTTTGAGACAAGAAAACACTACTGGTGCTCACAAAAACTAAATGCTTATGACTTCACTATTTTTAAATGGCAGTTGGATAAATAGCGCTCTCTTTTACCGGGACCATTAGTCTTTCCTCAAACACTCACATCCGTGTCAGAATAATCAATCCGTTTGGAAGTTTCTTTCCGAACTTGTACCTCAGGTCCTAGGTTGTCGGACTGGTAGATCTTGGTTCTCACAACCAAGGAGCTGACTAAACCGTTTTCTTCGTAAAACAACACAGATCAATAATTTGGCACATCGACCGATTCTAACCGAGAAGTGTCCGTCAGTTTCGTAATATATAATTTTTTTTAATGAGAAGACCATGTAAGACCCGGGTTTTAGCATACACAAGTTAAGTTGGTAGCAAGTGGATTGCACTATCTATATTTCTGAATTAAACGTTAACCGGACATTGTTGTGCTGTAATCCAGTGCACCCTAATTTTCCTATAAGTTATCCAGAGGACAGATCACAGATTGAGCTCTTCACTGATCACACAGGCAGAAGAGTACTGTGGACGCTCCACTGACAACATCCAGTATAGCTCGATGGTTTCTGAGTCGCCGCACAGTTCAGTCTCTAAGCAAAGGCATCACAGCAACTGAGTTTGCCGCCTTTTTAGAGGGAAATTAACACGTTAAGCGATGGGTCGTGAACCATGGAAATTTGCGATTGTGTGAGTATTCTCCTCGGATGATAGCTGCATCATTTAATGCATGACAATTTTACACCAGCATCATCACCACTACGGGAAGCAAAATTACTGTCGAAAGCGGGACTTGGACGTCACGTAATCATTAGCGTTTGGGATGTGAAAGATGTGACCATAACCTGACACTCGAAAATGACTGAATATCAGGTAAAAGCAGACGAGCGCAGGGTGCAAAGATTAAAACATGCCAAGTTCTGTGCAGTTTGGTAACACAACAACAGCATGAAAAAATAGGGTTCTACATGAACGATAAGGAACTGCTAGGTCATATAAATGAACTAATGAGTCAGTTTTTTGAAATAAAAAAACCTCAGGGTAAAAAAATGGATCGACCGAACGGTCGGAACGGTAATGAGATAATCACACAGGATTAGAAGGTAAGGGAAGCATACGCGAAGGACGATGTCACGGAATTCTGTTCAGAGAATACATAAGTGGGAACTGGAGGAGGGATTAGAAAGCCCAGCAGAACACACGCATATGCTCCAAAACAATGTATCCAGAATGAACATGAATGTGTGAACATACTTGCAGGAATGATAAGCTCCGGAGGGACATTGATAAGTTTGAGCGATTTCCCGATAGTCCATGAACCTGACTGCGAACTGCTAGTAGAATTCCCAGTATGGAGTCCTGTAGAGCCACAGGTATAAGAAAACCGCTTTAGCTGGAGCAGCAAATAAGGAGGAATTCGATCTATCCCCAAGCGACGGTTCACATTAGAAGCTAACCCCGTGGTGACATCTTGATAGTCGGACACCGATTCAACTTCGGTCAAGCGAATGAGAGAAGAATCTATCCCAGTCACCTAGAAGGAAAAACGAAAGTGGACACATGGAAAACAAACACTACTAGCTGTGAATACATATAGTAAGAAGGTACTCTGAAATTCATATATAGTTTGAGGCCAAGATGTGATATAACTGTTTCACAGCACCATCGTCACATACCCTCATTGACAAGTAGGGCCACGATTCGAACCTGACTGTGCTTCTTGATTGTTTCCGCCTAGGCCGAGGCAATCAAGCTGTATCTGTCTTTGTGATTCCTTCGTGTCGCACGGCAGCTACGCTGACAATGTCGAAGCCGAACGACTATTATTATTTTTTGACGAAACACTATTCATGAGGCTACTGAAAACTTCCTCCCTGCGGACGATCGGTTTTGTCCTTCTTCCGGTTCATCGGTTAGGTGAGGCTAAAGGTGCGGTCCGCTAACATTATGTTCTAGTGTGATCCGTTATTACTCAACTGCATCAGCGTCGCTATTGATGCGCCGCCTCGGTACAGTACCAAGGTTTGAGAGGTCCCCCATGATACTATGTTTCACGCTTGCGATCAATCAGGAGCGCAACTAACTTTTCATAACCTGAATAATTCCACCATGCAGTTTGAAGTGTGTTCCACGTCTCAAAAGTGCAAATGCTAGAATGAATAGGATCAAACCCGAATCGCACACCAAAAAATCGCCCACCTGATATCGTGGGATAACTCATCTACCTCGTTTGTTGTGTAGGTGGTGGTAAGCCAATGAAAAACGAAGCTACTTGTCGAATCCGGATGACCGGATATTTTGCAAACCTGCGACGTCTGTGGAGTTGATGTGACATCAGCACGTCTGTCGAAGGTAGGTTACTGTTGTGTCTACTGTGTGTCTACTACTGTTGTGTCAGAGACGTGGACTCTGAACATCGACGGAAGACCGAGAATTCCCATGTCTAACGATTAGAAACTAGGAAGCATTGTTCAAGTAGGGTAGAGCGATAGGAAAAATAGGGCTGGGATGTGTCGGATGCTTTTTGAAAGAACATGTCAACCATGAGATATTCACTCCATGGACTACAGTAGTTGGAATAGGTAGTCCATGTGTAACTGGATGGCCTGATGGGTAGAGGTCTTCCAGCTCGGTCATATACAAGAGGGTATTCTTTGACCCAATTGTGGGTTCATGATAAAAACCGAACGAACTCGCTCGGTCGTTAGTTCCAATGAATGCATGTCCTCTCATCATTCTTCCTGATATTGATGAGCGAAACGGTAGCACTTGGAACCAAATTACGGTTGACTCATAGCTTACGGTTAGTATGTTAGATCTATAGGACCCACTAACGAAGCATGGAACCTTTGGCTCAGCTGTGCTAGCAAATGGTACCTCTCTGGGCATTAATTCTGAGACGCAGAATAGTAATTGGTAGCCATCTTGAAAGATACAACCCAGTCCCATCACCCATGGCATCTCTACATAAAGCGATCACGTGCTATGAACTGGTTACTTCATCATCGCTCGCATTGGGCCGTCTTTTTCTCATTCTCCTCATCCTTCACGAACCGGCTGAAATCGACGTGTCCTTGGTGGGAAACATATGGTAGAAGGACAGAGTGTGTGGCTCAGCAACAGAATATGAATAAAGCCTATGGGACGAAAAAGGAGAAATACTGAAGATCGAGACTAAAGATGCTAACATCAAATGCCCTGATACTTGACTCGATTGCCGTGAAACATGAAACGAACTGAATGTTTATTTTCCTGGTCACAATAAGCGATAAGAGTTCTCATGTGAGATTCAATCGACAGGCGAAGAAAGTTTGATATGAGAATGGGTTTATCTGTGAAAATAAGCAAAAATCTGGTGATGTGACGACGATACTGTTATCCGTGTAGTACTTCTCCCGGTCTCCAGGGTGAAAGGGAGGTAATGAAGACACGGGTGATTGGGGAATGCGCCCCACTGTTATCAGCTAGAGCAACAGCCCATCTTGACACCACTGAATGGGTACGTTGAATACAACTTCTTCGACGGTTACTTGCACTGAGGTACTAGCTGACACTGATCCTACTCAATTCGGGCAAATTGATCCACAAAATACAATATGAGTGAAGAAAGCGTCCCATTAATTGTCTTGATTGGGGCCTCATGGGATTTCGACCTGGTGTAGGTCGAGATAGCTTAGTGGTTAGAGGTTTGTGGTTCGAACACGACCTCTACATCTCGATTTCTGTCTAGCAGTATTCCGGCCCTCGTTTCGACCTGGTGTAGGTCGAGATAGCTTAGTGGTTAGAGGTTTGTGGTTCGAACACGACCTCTACATCTCGATTTCTGTCTAGCAGTATTCCGGCCCTCGTTTTCCTTCGGGTTGCATGGCAGCTAGAGGCACCGAAAGTGTTACAGCTGAATGATTACTTTTATTTTACCTAAATCAGTAGGTTGGTGGTGTTTACTAAAAGCGGTGTTCCATGAAACATGGTTGATCTATACGGAGTGCTGTGACCAAATGAATTCGAACGCAATCAAATGCTTGACTTTCAGAAGTGAGGATGAGGACGTTTCGGAATTGGGATGACGTGCTACGACAGTAAAGAAAAAGCGACCCAGTAGCTCATTTTCAGGTATTGATTCCCCTTTACTTTAGGAGACTAGTTTAAATGCTACAGCGACTCTGTGAGGCTAATGGGACTTGTCTGCGCAAAGCCGTCAAAAGAAAGGTATTAACTCGCTACTGTGAAAGGATGTCATTCCATAAGTTCTACAGATTATTGGATCCACACCCAAGTGAAATGTTATACGCTAGACACAGCACTGTATAGCCAAGGTGCTCCACGCAAAAACAGACAGACACATATGCATTAGTTACAGACCGATCCGCTTCGTCATACATAACGACGTTGTATTCATTTCGTCATTGGGAGAGAAGCGGTCGGAGGAGGGACAAAGTTGAAACGCTCAGAATTAGTAACTGTAATCACATAATAGCAAGCCAACATTAGTAACGCTGATACTAGCCTCGCGCGAATAAGTCATTCAGCTGTCTATCACGTGTTGTTAAAACTTGTTACTCGATGAACTGCACGTGATTACACCCACCGTTTTCAAACGAAATTACAATACTACACTCCCTGACACGTTAGTTATACACACACCTACCTAGCTCTCCGCAGGCGCTCAAACACCGTTTATAGGACTAAAAGATATTGCGCTGATATCGCGAAAATAAAAAAGTTTGGAACATGTAGAGAATCTTAGATAAGAGTTGGTAGTGCTGACTTATTCGCAGCCGGTTGAGCGTCACGCTCCAACGGTATTCGGATTCTCACAAAGGTATCCTTCAACGTACCTTAGGGTCATTTATTTCTAGAGGTAGGATGAAGAAGGGTTCTTTGGTTGCAACACAAGTGGCTTGACGCGTGAGTTCATCGACTGACACACCGGTTGGTTTTCGAGGTGTGGGGACTCTGCCGTGCTTGACAGTGGACCGCGCTATCAAGACTCCGGAAAACAATTCAGATATTCGACTGTGACCACCCTGAAGCATAGTCTAGAGAAGACAGAACGAAAGCGTGACAGCAGTAAAATACGTAAACGTTGAAATTAACAAAACGACGATATACTGAGGTTATGCTAAAGACAGATCTATTCGGTGGAGGATTTAGAGGACAAATTAATCTAAATAACAGGAATCTCATTGAAGCTAATGCGTTGATCCTCCATCAAATGGTGAATGTTCATGGAACCTTATGGGTATTCCAGCTGGTTCATTCAAGCGAAAAGACAGGATTTGAGATTAAGCAAAGCCCTATACCCATACTATCGGACTGCCGTCGAAACAATATCTCCAGATTTGGTAGTTGACTTTGCTCGATTCAACTTGTTTCCCAGAAAGCACGAGAAAATCAAACCGTTCGAACATCTTTGTCCAACTTGATAGTACACTGTCAAATGTAAGCGGTACTTCGTGCTTCTCCGACTGATTTCAAATAATATGAAAGTTGAAAGAAGGCCGGATGGATAAGATCATGATGCTTGAAGGAACTGCGTTCGATTCTCCGTCAGTAAGTTCAACATGAGTTTTCCGTATGCTGTTTCAAGGACGACGAATTTATAAAAATCCATTATTTACATTCGGTTGGCAAGAGGTATTTATTATAACGATTGCTAGTATCCAGTGATTGCCTATTTGAATTGGAGGTCACGTAGTCCGCGTGAGTTAACTGCTTACAATTTGCGCACATTATACCCAGCTAATCACTCAGTCAGTCAGTCTATTACCAACAAACCATATGTCGGGGGTTGTTTCCAGCTGCTACAACCACCGAAAATGGGAGCGTGGGAGCTATAGCCAATCATAGGACTCGATGGCATAGTCGGTTAGTGCACAGTGTACATTGCTCTGAGGGAATAGGAAACTGGACAGCTACGCGCTGAAGGCGATAGTTTTGACACGCAAGAGCGTCACTCACTGCCTGACAGAGCCATTTCTGCCAGTTTCCCTTAATCATTGGTTAGTTGATTTACGGGATCCTCACCCGAGGAGGCAGCAGTTATCCACCCGACTTTACTGGTTAGCGTTTTCATATCTCAGCGGTGCTTATCCGATGTTCCCACCAGACATGACCAATGCTTCGGAGGCACCGGTAGTCAAATACTGACAACTCCAGTACGTTCTATGCGCATAGAGGCACCGTCTCTAGCCCATAAAGTACTGCGGATAGCATTGCCGCAGTGTATACTCCGCCCTTGACAAACTAATTAACGTCACATCTGCCGCACAGGTATTCAGGTTGGTAAAAGCTACCCTGACCTTCCCGATATGAGAAGCAATCTCACTTCCAGCCAGTCCACAGGAGCTTATACCGCTGTTCAAGCAAATAAACTTATCAACCAAGTCGACTGGTTCGTCTGAAAGCATGACGTTTAGGTTTGATCCCACCCTTACAGTTTACAGGTGTGAAACGCATGCCGAACAGTGCGGTAGAGTTATTTAAGTTATGTGAAATGGTTTGCATTTTTGAAGGATCTGAATCCAGGACAGCAATATCGTCCGCATACTCAATATCCGTGAGCGAACGCTCCGGATGCATTTCGATCCTAAAGATTTAAAAAACAGGCAGAAAATAGGCAATGTTGTGGAATTTGGGTAGCTCGGGTGTGCCAAAAACTATGCAACCTACGGTCTTCAAATAAGCTAGAACCCACAAACAGGAAGCATATGAAATTCTGTGAACAGGTACCGGCTCATCTAGCTTAGACAGCTCACCCACGGGTTACCAGAAGTATACATCTTTCGGTCACCCGACCAGCACAGTCCACTATTCTTTCTCTCGTAGTGGACAGGCATTGATCTATTGGGAAGCAACTGACCTAAACATGCACACCACACTTTGTACCATTCGGTCATTCCAATCTCATCTTATGCAGTTCCGTAATTCAGCAGCTTCAAACCTCCGTGAGCTAGCAAAGGGCGATAAAAAGTAAAGGGTCGATAGTCTCACTTTATATTTTTATCGTATAAGACTGACAAACGATTGACAACTTTCTCTCACGTCAGAAATGATTTAACGAGCCCCGAATGGACGGCGTATTCACAAAATTTAGGATAGAAGTCGAAAATACTCGTTTATGTATCATCTACATAGGCGTTTATGTTGAATACCCACGTGTTACCTATACAAAGGTATGACAGTGGTAGTTCTGAAAGGTATGTTGTAGTTGACCACAACAGCCAACCCATCGGATTGCTACAACAGTTAGATGGAAATAAGTCAACTTTAAAACAAACCTTTCTGGCTTCTGGACGCCGTTTGCCAGAACGATCAGTGATGATCCAATCGGAAAAGTCGTCCTCAATACCATTTACCGTTGGACTGCAGCCGGTTTGGTCCACTGCAGCGAGCTCTTCATGTAGGCGTGACAGCATACGGGTGAGACATTCCTGAAACGACAGCAAGAAAGTAACATAACACTGAAGTCAAAGAAATTGTGCCTATTTAGCGAATTCAACATTTAGATCAGGACCACGAAGAAGAAGGGCCGAGCCCGTTTTCAAAAGTTGGAATATCAAGTTCGAATAGTGTGATGCACCGTAGATGTCAAAAACAGCGTATTGGTTGTGGAAACAGCTCGCCGCACGAAGTTAGTCACAGTTTGAATAAGGAGGAGGGATAACGCAGAGTTAAGCACATCAAATAAGCCAATACTTCGCTCTATGGTTGGATGGCTCCGATTCGGTACCGGACAGCTTCCACACATGGCGCCGGGTTGACTAAAATAAGCCAAGTTCAGGACAGCCATCGATTTCCACAGAAAATGTGCAACGTGAGGCAATCAATGACTGTTATAAGGGTAATGTGTGAGCTTTTACATGTCCTTCCCATTAGACAAGGCAAGCATGCACTGATGGATTAATAAGTATCCATTCTATCAAGAACGTACACTAGCCACTGTCAGTTTCGTTGTTGGACAAATTGAGAATGGTGCGTTGAAGCGTGAGACCTCTTGTGGAAACTTTAACTGCCTTTCGGACCGTCAAAGACGTCAGCAGTCAATTTGATTTGAGCTGGACAGTAGCCTGGTACCAACCAATATTCGGTACAAATAAGGATCTTAGCTACCTGAAAGAAGTGACTTAGACGTGTGCCATTGAGAGAGGTCTGTATGGATGGAGCATCTTTTTTCAACAAATTTATTCTTCTTTCTGGAGCTGATGAGTGATGTAGACTTACTGATGTGATCGGTTACCGTCAGCAGTTTCACCAGGCTATTGTTCAGAACGACAATGTCAGCTCCATAGTTCAGGCCTAAGACCCGTGTGGCCAGGCTAATTTAGATATCAAGATAGTTTTGTGGGCCTAATCAATCCTTAAATCCAACACTGGGGTACCTCAGATACACAGGACATCAGGGTAGATGCCACTGTACCCCCTTGTTGATAATATCCCAGCAGCAGTGCACTGTATACAAGGTAACCCGTGTCGATGCAATGACTGCACTACAGACAAGCGGGATAAAAATACAGGAGGGAAATAGCAACAACCTCCTACTGAATAAGCGTTCTGGCATTTTGGTAGTTAAGCGGTGCTTATACTAAGTGACAAGGAGAAAATGCTCTAGGAACCACAATAGTGGTAGAAACACCGCAAAACAGACTGGAAGCAGATGCCTCAGAGAGACCAAGTGAATAAACTTCAATCCTAATTGGCATTTGAGACACGTGCGTGGACTTGTGCAACCAGTCATCATCTCATTTGTGGCCTCATCTTGGAATCAATATTTTCTGTGCTCTCGTCATCACCTGAAAACTGATACCATAAAGTGAAAGGACACCAACAGAAGAAAACCAGCAGTCCCGACAGGCAATAAATTTCTACTTCAAAATATAAATATTCGATTTCTGGTAGCCACTAGGAAAAGTCTAAATAAACCGGTCCCGTGAACATGACTCAGAAGATCATAAATAATCCATGGAGATACAAAAATCACTGTAGGTGAAGAGTGGCGTGGTTGAGTAGACTTCTGAATGTGTGGAAAACGTATTTTTGATGCCAAGTATTAGGTATGTGTTGACACAACGACTCCACACATACAAATGATTTCGACATCCATCAAAATCAGTTGTATATATGGAGCTACCATACGAGACACTACTTCAAGGAAGGCGAAATCACCCAGTTTCTTGCATTTCAAAGGTAGGCTGCTTACCATTAATGAGGCTACTGAGGAAAGTGCAGTCTATTCGCACTAGTGGAAATTCTTATCAAGCGTGTGTTCATCGCCAATATGAAACAGTAGGATCGGATTGCTCAATGAGTTGGGTAATGCTGTTCAGACTAATCATAGAAATCGCCATCGTGATCGTTGTACAAGTGAAACCTGGTGCGATGAATCAGATTCAATTAAGTTCAACGTAGATAAACTTTACGGTCACGCCATCCGGTTGTGTTCTACGTAACGTGCGAGCAACAAACAACGCAACGGCCGAATAACTTACGGCTCCGTCTTCCTGGGATCCTCCGCTTAGGTCCAAAAGACGGAGGAACTGTTCATCTGCCACTAGTGGCGGACCCAAATCAAACCGGGTTATGGATGATCGTCGCACTGTGGTGGGCCCATCGTTTCGCAGTTCCACTCGTCCTGATTGACCCGGTGCGTTGAGTTTATTCGCCATCGCTGGTGACGGCAGCGGTATAAACTGTTTGAATAAATCCAACCTAAATCAGGAGAGACAGAAATGAAAAGGTAGTGATGGCTAATACTTCTATGAAATCACAATATGCTTAAATGAGAGTGAACACCAAAACAGCAGCCGTGCCCAAGCCGAGTTAAGTAAGCCAAAGACCACCGGGAATTAGCCGAAGAAACAGGGGTAATTAGTTCAGCATCAGTAACACCAAATAAGGCATGTTTGCCGGAGGGACTTGTCCTGAAGGTTCATAGTCCTTCGGGTGAGTGCGATCCCCACTTCTCTTCTCTAGAGATAAAAAAGAGATGATCCTTAGTAAACCTATGAGCCCCTATGTCGTGCCTACTCTAAAGTAGCCATTTAGGTTCAAAAATGTCATCACGTTCCTTCACTGATACGACTGTTGCTAATTTACTCAGGATGCTTGATGAACAAGGGACAAACGCAACCTACAGCTGAGTGAAGGAATACTAGTTGCGTCGAGATGACATATGTATTGCCTCATCTGATTAAGGCCGGATGGGTATAAGGGTGGAAGATACAAAGTAATCTAGCGTTTGACTGGTATCACCTGATTATCTGAATAAAGGAGACAACTAAAAAGTGTGGCCTGATGAACCACACAGCCATGAAGCACACTCAGAAGGAAGCCGAATGGTTTGAAGTGAACAATGGCGCTCATAGGTCGATTCCAGCGCCAATTAGTACGCAAATAGGTCATTGTATTGAGACAGCCGTTGTTGTTCCAAGTACTGGTGCTTGATTTAGGTACACTTTCACCTATGAACTGCATCACTGGTAAGTTAAACCCAAGGCATGTTTCATTGCATGCACGGCTAACCATGAGTTGCTTGGTCTACCGGGTAGCATTCATGGCACCATCAAAAGCTGAAAACCAGCAGATGTCGCTTGAAATCATTTCATCAACTGTGGCGCGTAAACATATTATACGTGGGCTATAAACGAAGTTTGATAAGCATTTCTGTGAAGCCACGGAGGGTAACAGACAACAAGATATATTGTCAAATAATTCAGCGTGATAAAAGAATACTAAAGAAGAGGTCAAAGTGGAAAGCGTACTTCGCGTAAGAAAAACATTTGTTGGAAATTACAGGGGTTCGGAGCCACAGGAACTAAAATAATGTCAACAGGACGGTGATAATGCCTCGGGAACCATATAGTGCAAAACGGCTAAACTTGTTTGCCAATCACAAAGATTCTGCAGAAAAAAGTAACCACAGATGTTTGGTAGTCGCGGAATATTTTCACTGAAAGAAGCAGAGCACGTTGCGAATTGAAGGAGCAAACAAACTACATACACCGATGCACGTAACAAACTTGACATTGAGCTTTCCGCTACACGTGAAAACTTGTGTTGAAGGTTCTGTGTTTATCCCCCGCTTCAGATGGTTTCGAATCAAGGAATTTTAACGGTGAGAACTAATACGGTAGCCAATCCAAACAACATACTAAACATACGGATGTTCTACCCTGGAGAGATCAACCGAAGGAACCCACCAAATACGACAGCTCCAAAGGACACATGTTCTTCATACCTAACGAAGGAACGTTTCAATGCTAGCCGACAGTGAATAAGAAGCCTTCAGATATTCGATCAAACCGGATGCGTCAATAGGGTTCCGAAAATAGCACACAATAGAAGAGATGAGAGAGAAATCCTCACTTTAAAATGACAATCAAGTATCTCAATAAGACTTAGAACAAAACGGACGAATACGATAGACAACAGTTGTTGAAAATAACCAGCAATAAACGCCAACGTGACAGCACTTACATAAGCTGGCATAGAGAACCGGATTTAATTACGGCATTGCTGGCTGAGAGTTCCCGGAAAAGACGAACAACTGAAGGTATATGTAACAGTGTCTGTAGGCAGACATTCAAGAAACAACAATTCCTGTAGTTCTGAAAGCCTCGTGGTCTCAAATTCGATTGCTGAATGGTTTCCTCGCTTGAGGCAGTGGCGTTGTTTCCGATAGATATACCTAGGATGGAGTAACAGTGTAGATGCATCAAGAAAAACGTGCAAGAGATGCATTGGTACGTGAAACGTAGCTTCCAAAAGTAAACAGGACGTGAGTTCATTAAATAAGAAATCGGAATATCTAACGATGGAATCGGTGATAGTTATCACAGACGATGCACGATAGTGCGCCCATTTTGTGATTACATAACGGGACTTAACGGGACAGCGACCTATTTAAATCAGACACTACGAGCTTTTGTTCCTTAGTACGCAAATGGCAAAACAAAGCGAACCTTAATGCCACAAGGTAGGCTGTAAGAAGGCAAAGACAGATCATACTGACCATTGTTTTCTATACAGGAAAATGCTGGTAGCTCAGGTAACGTAGATGGTAGTTGGCTTGTTAGCCGGGCTAGGTAATTTGACTGCAAACGTTTCATCACCAATCGATGTGACATCACCAGTGCGTTGTTGGGGAGCGTAGTGATGCGTAACGATGGGCTGGTGGTTGTGTGTTGCATAGTGTGTGGGTGTGTGTTGATATACGTGCTGCAAGCCAGATACGACATTTCACATTAACTGGAACTTCAAAAATGCGTGTGAAGAGAGCGAACCAGTGACTTTCACGTTGGAAGACACACACTCTAAGCCGCAGGACAGCGTAAGGGTTGACCAGATAGTACAGTGAATGAAGCTGAATAGAAGCCTGATGAAGGTTGCCTGGCTATTTGACGGAGTGATCAAAAGATAAGAAACTGATCCACGATGAGCCACAACAAATACAATAATACCGTTCAGCCATAAAGCCCTTCGGTGCCTAGCTGCCGCGCCACCCGAAGGAAGCACAATGGCTAAGATACTGTCAGGTTGCCCAACCCAGAAAGTAGTCAGGATGTTGGGGTGGGGTTCGAACCACGGACCTTCCGGTGAACCACTGAGCCATCTCGAGCTCATGACAAGGCAGCCAGAGGTTGGTGTATTCTCCAAGCAAAGTTCGTCCCTGGAGATGCAGTGGAACTAATAGTAAGTTGCAGTCCGTATGGTGCAAAATTAAGTAACCTCCCTAGTGTATAGGTTCAAAATTCGGGATCCACTGTGCAATGCTTGAAATCGAGCCCAAAAGGCGTTCAAGCTTACCGCTCCACAAGAAGAGCACAAGGCTCTCCTAACACTGCCAGTAAAGTATTACCTAGGGAGGCTGTTTACCTTACGCGTGGCTAATAAGGGCTACGTCGGTGAACAGGTTTAGCGTTCACGGAACTAAGTCGTGCTCAACCACCAGAGGCAATCAAAAGGAGGAACTCACGTATTAAGCCATCTTGACACCCATCACGGTACTAACAAGTAACAGCATTCAGAAGTCAAATGTCCGGATAAGAAAAAGGTGACATTGAACATACGAGACGGCGAGATAACAGGTATTTTACGCATTGTAGGCTAACATCGCAAAAAGTAATCAAGAATTCCCATTTCCAAACCTTGAAATTGTGGCAACAAGAATGAATATGAATGTACATCGCATCACTATAGCTGATCAAACAAAAGGTCAGTGTCCAAATTAAAGATAAAATGCGACGGTAAACCAAAGGTTCTCATGGTTGAAACATCATCCGGAGAGAAGTTGTGGTGAACATGAACTTGACAAATCACTTCCCACAGCACCCATTATGTGGTATTGACTTGGCTGAGAGTGACCAAGGCATGGTCGGAAAAAATTTAAGCCCTAAGGGAACATTATACCGAATACCGGGCGCTGGTCAAACGTGAGAAAAAACGTCCGCTGATTGGAAGATCTATGCGTATTACAGGAAGCCGCCTGTCCGGCACTCTAACGGATGGAAAAAAATCCACTAAGAATTATTAGACAATTAAAAAAAATCAGAATGCGAAAACAGTACTAGATACATACCAGCAGGTGACGGTTGCTTGGATCCCTTCGAACGTTTGCGGCGGCTTCTCCGCCTAGAGGAGGTTTTATCGCGAGTGCTTTTGAATTCTGCATGAGATTCAGTACGTAGTTGGATGAGCTGGTCCTCCAGTTCAGGTAACTCGATCATTGAATGATACAAATGCACTATCAGCTAGCGCATCCTAAAAAGGATAAAAAGGGTCTAAGAAAGTGCGAAGAGAACCTTTTTCATCATCCTCAGCTATGGAAAAAGCTTACATGTTGTACAGTCATTATGGCCGCCCCACTTTTCTTTGCTGATGGTTTTGAGAGCAATCGAGCAATCGTGGTATGAGGCAGTCTGGGGGTAAAGTCGTACTGTCCTCTGCGACAGGAGTGTGAAGGCAGTAAGGTGTTCCCCCAGGCGACCAGCATGTCCATTTTCATGGAAGCAACGATGCTGCCTTCCCCCGAGGAAGGACGGGCTAGAAAAGGTCGGCCCCCAAAACCGCACACTCCGATC